GATAGATAGATAGATAGATAGATAGATAGATAGATAGATAGATAGATAGATAGATAGATAGATAGATAGATAGATAGATAGATAGATAGATTGATTGATTGATTGATTGATTGACTTTATTGATCTCACAATGGAGAAATGTACTCGTTACATCACCTCAAATAGTCAAAGAAGAAGAATGTGCCAAAGGAGGAAAAAGGTGCATGGGATATATATAGTGTGTCCACATATAACAGCTTTTTTTTTTTTTTTAGATAGATAGATAGATACAGTAAATAGACAGATATACCGGTACCATGTCTATAAGGTATACCATTTATACACTGAATACTTAGATGTGATCCTCTTACATATTAACAGCATTAATGCGACACTTTAAAGATGCGATAAGCTTGTAACTCTGCCAAAGGTGCTGAGGAATCTATACTAATGTCCTTTACCCTGGAGTTTTTGTGAGGTCATTTTTCTGACCACCATGGTAAAATAACTATTGGTACTTCCATCCATGTGGGAAGATATGGAATTCTGCTGGAAAATGTAATCCTTATCCCTATGAAGCTTAAGGTTTCTAACATTTTCCTGGCAGAAGTCTGTGCTGTCTTTGGATTCGATAAAACAGTGAACCAATGCAGCAGATGACACAGCTAACCAAATCGCTAAGTTTGGAAACTTTACACTGGACCTCAAGCATTTTGCAATCTGTGTTTCTCTACTCTTTCTCTCAAATATTTCAGCACCTTTTAAGCACAGTTCCACCACATTTTACACAACTTTACTTTAATTTGCTTGAATATAATATCCAGTAATCATTCAGCTTTTTTTTTTTTAACAAAACACCTCTGGTTGCTTATCCTGTGGGTGTCAGAGCTGTATGTTGAACAATTGTAAACATAACATAACATTGTCTGATTCTTTTTTTATTGGACCTATAGGACAATTGCAATTTTCTTTCTTTTTTTTTTTTTTTATAATAAAAAGTGTACATTGGTTTTTGACTGGCTACTCCCATGGGTGGTTCTAGACAGGTGTTAACGGGGGCCAGTGCCCCTGTAGATCATGTCCTGGCCCCTGTATTGAAGACATAATACTTTAAAAAAATTCTAAAGTTGATATGTGCTGGAACAGACATGGTTACTGATTCTTTAAAAAAATGTCAGTTTCATGAACTAAAACAATAAGGTGATAGCTTCAGTGTTATTGAGACAGGATCCTAGTTTTCATCTGCTAAATGTTTTTTCAAAACAAATAAACAAAACAAACTCTAATTTTTACAGCTGTATTTTTTGGTTTTTCTTGAGTTCTAATTCTGATTTTATAGAAAACTGTAATTTTAAATAAAGCAAAAAATATGTAAAATTCCTGAATTATGAATGTATATTGACCTAATATTCCAAATAATATCTTTATTTGATATTTTAGATATTTAGGTAATATAGCTAAAAAAAAAATTTTGAGTTGCTTTTTTGCTATGCTAAGGGATTTTTATTTTGATATTAAGGATTTTCAAGCCAAATATAAATATTTTCAGTTGGAAGACATATAAATTTAATTAAACCTAATTGAATTGAAATTTCACTTCATGCAGCTATCTTAATTTATTTGAATCCCTTGGCCTGTTTTTTTTTTTTTTTTTTTTGTTTCATGTTTTTCTGTGCCCCCATGAAAACACGCTGCCCCCCCCCCCTATTAAAAATTTTCTGGCTACGCCTCTGCTGAAGGGGTCAGAATCAGAGAAAGAGGAGAATAGCGATCACCTCCAAATAGGGCTTGGGGAATAAATCATTACCAAAAAATGTATCTCGCCTTCCTACTCCCTCGCCTCAACTGCATGGAGACTGCGCAGAAAGCGTCGGAAAAAAAAAAAAAAAAAAAAAACTAAGAAAGTTCATGCAACCGCTGTGCAGGATGTCCAGTTAAAGAGAAAAAAATCTGCAGACGAGCAAAAGCTGCACAAGCAGACGGACTGAGAGCAACAACCACTGCATAGCAGCTTTATTTTCCACACCTAAAAGAGCGTTTTGGTTGCCAAAATGGGTTCTCCGACGATACTTGGCTGTCGTCGGTTTATTTTCAAAGTTGTTTTGCTTCAGTTCATCGCCTTTCAAGCAACAAATGCTCGTCCATCTCCTATAATCAGGTTTCCCGGAGACGACTCCCCGAGAACAGACAAAGAAGTTGCTTTGGTGAGTTGGATTTTTGTTATTATTTTGTTTTTAAGTATACAATCAAAAGCATATGAAACCATCTGTTTGTATTCCCACGACGTATGCTTATGAATAAAAAAGCTATTTTGTATTAAAATAAAATAATTGCATTTATTTATTTTTTTTTAATCTTGCATTTCTCTTGTAGCACTATCTGAATAAGTTTTATGGATGCCCACAAGACAGATGCAACCTTATGGTGCTTAAAGACACTTTGAAGAAAATGCAAAAGTTTTTCTCCCTGCAAGAAACTGGAGAAATAGATGTCAAAACGGTGGAGATTATGAAAAAGCCCCGCTGCGGTGTTCCAGATGTGGCCAATTATAACTTCTTCCACAGGAGACCCAAGTGGCAGAAGAAGGACATTACCTACAGGTCAGATGCATTCAAGTTTTGTTAACTGCAAACACATCTATAAGCCATGTTGGGTTAATTTGGTTGTTCTATTGTCTTCATGTATGTTATTGTGTAAAAAAAAAAGAAAAAACAACAACAGCAAAACAAAAACATTTAGATAAATCAAAGCCTTTCACATGGTACTTTCCCCCAACTGAACCTTTAGAAACTCCCTTTAGCTTGGTTTGCTTTTATTTTGTGCTTCCAGATGCAGAACATGTTGAGCAGGGGCGTAGCTAGATGGGGGGCCAGGGGTGGTCATGACCACCCCTTAGCCAATCATTGGCCACCCCACCATTTATTTCTCTCTAATACAGATGGTGGCAACTAGTGCTGGGTGATATGGAAAAAAATCATATATCACAATATGGACTATTTTATAACACAATAATCTCTGAAAAATACGACATTCCAATATAATTGCTTACTTTTTCAACTTCATTTTGAAGCGACATTTATAGAACTGTCACCAATTAGAAAAATAAATTGTAGTGCAGCAATATATATGCATAAAATGAGGCGGAGGTACGTCTACCTTCACATTTTTTCAAAATCTTACAGGTATTTAAATTTAATAACCCAAAAGCGCACTAATGTTTAGTTTCTTAAGTTTCTGAGTAGAAAAGCACACATTTTTGAACGAAAGATAGTTACAAAAATAAATAGTTTTTCAAGTTTCTAAAAACTGTAAGCATGTAGTGCAAAGTTTGCATAACAAAATAGCAAAAAAAAATTTGCAAAATTAAATAAATGAGGGTTGAATTTAACTAAACATTTTTTTCATTATCGATGTAGAAATGTTGTTTCTGTTAAAGGTCAAATTTCACAACTTGCTTTACATCGCACTTTTTGGATCTTTATGTATTCTTTTTCGTGGTTCTTCTTTAGGTGATGTATTGCCGTCGGGCAGAGATGGCAAAAGTACTCACTTTCCATACTTGAGTAAAAGTACAGATACTTGTGTTAAAAAATACTCTGGTAAAAGTGGAAGTACTGATTAAACTTCTTTACTCAAGTAAAAGTAACAAAGTACAGGCTTGTAAATTTACTTAAAGTATAAAAGTAAAAGTAGAAACCACTTTTTTCATGCCGTTGCCTACATTTTAAATGGATGTCTGCCAATAGGACTAGATCTCCGTTGTGTTCATTTTCAATCATCTCGTCGTCCATGCTACTATGCTAACGCCACCGCCACCAAGCTGCAATGATTTGCCGCCAATGAATACCGCCTTGTAGTGGTGCGTCAAATGCAACGTAGATTCCCATCCAATTAGATTGAATTTGGTATTGATGACGTGAAAAATAATAACGGTAATTGAAATGATTCAAAACTAAAGTAACGAGCCAATTTTTTAGGAGTAAGGAGTAGAAAGTACAGATATTTGTGTAAAAATGTAAGGAGTAGAAGTAAAAAGTCGCCATAAAAATAAGTAGTAAAGTAAAGTAAAAATATCAGAAAAATCTACTTGAGTACAGTAACGAAGTATTTGTACTTCGTTACTTCCCACCTCTGCCGTCGGGTAAGGGAACAATCTTGTAACATAGTTTGCAAATTACCGTTGTCTGCTCCGTGTTGGACTTCTTAAATCCAAAATGTAACCAAATCACAGACGTGCCCTCTCTTTTTGGTAAAAGTGCTTCATCTTGTGTTGCCCGCATAGCTGTCTCTGTTTGTTGTGACCACAGATTCAATACTTCAGCCTCCTGCGTCTCTATCTCTCATGAGTTAAAAGCAAAAGCCATAAGAAGCGTCATGTTGAAAAACCACAGGACGGCGCTTCTTTGTGGATTAAAAAAAATCTTGTTTATCACTTATAAGCTGCGTGTAGGCTACGTGGCTACACTAATATGATCGCCGTAGTCTACCATGGGAAATATTTGTTTGAATCTGAGATAAAATTGTGTTAGAAACGATAGAATAGAAGTAGCTCTATAGACAATTTTCTGTCATTCGTATATTCCACTGTTGCCTTAGTGGCAACAGTGGAATATTCAAAACATTTTAATTTTTCATATATTAACAATTATATGACAACAAAAACACCATGGTTAATTATGCACATCTATATACTAACATTAAAGATGATAAGTACAGAATTCAAGCAGAACTAGATTTTGTGTTTTATGGAGTAAAGAGAAAATGATGCGTCTGCAAGTCGACTATGAGTCTTCAGTGAAATCATAGATAAATAACTATTTTAGATAATCAATTTATGTAGATATTAGTACTTGTAAATATCAATTTTATGCAGAATGATTACTGATAAAAGTAGGTAAGTAATGACAATGGAAAAGCTATTCGCCCAAAACTCAAACCTGAAAGAATTTTATCCACTATACGTCTTATCTAGAAAGCACAGATGTTTGAATATATGCGTCTATTTGTTAGCAAAGGCTGTGGGAAAGTATAGTTTGTCTTTATTTAGAAAATATGGATGTTTTGCTTATTAAGTTTCCTGTTGGAACAGTGTAGATTGACCGTGAGATTTTGGTGCCTATCTACTTTCAGCCACCCCTCAGTGTACATTGGTTAGTGCCTGGCCACCCTCATAAAAATGTTCTGTCTACGCCTCTGATGTTAAAAGCTTTGCTCTGATCTTGTTTATGTTAATAGCATGGATATAGTTTATTTATAAAAGCGGTTATATGTGTCATGGTCTTTACAGGCCACCTGTTCTGTTGTTTGTGCAGGAAACCGCAGGGTAGAAACAATAACACAGGGTCCTAACATTATTATAAACAAAAGGACATGGTCAGTATCCTCAGTTTGTACAAAGGTCATTCAGAGATGACTCATACTGGCCAATGTTACCATTCAAGTGAAGAAAGGAGAGCTATGTGATTCTTTTTAAAATATGTATTTTGTCTTTTTATGGAACTTGTCTGCTTTTGTAATATCGTTTTATACTCCAAGTTGTCATCTCTTTGTAGAATCCTGGGCTACACTCCTGATCTGGATGAGGAAACCATAAATGATGCTTTCTACAGAGCCTTCAAAGTGTGGAGTGATGTCACACCACTTTCTTTTACTCGCATTATGGATGGAGAGGCTGACATCATGGTTAATTTTGGGCGCAATGGTATGATATGTGTTCGAATGTGAATTTCATATAACTTATTCACGATGCTGGACAGGTGATCCCTCCTTGGTAGTTTAAATCCCTTTAAATTTGTTTGTTTCTACAAAGAGAAGAAAGCCAACTCATTTGGATCTGTTTTTATACTCATTTTTTCTCGTTATGGTACGCATGAGATTTTGACTTGTGTGTACGCTTCTATGTGGATGTAGCATTAGCAACATTAGCAGTTTGATATTGTTTTCCTTGCCTTTTACACAATAGTTATAAAGTTACAGAAACAGTCACTTATGGCACAAATTACATAAATCAGGGAAGAGGACCAACTTTGTTTTTTTTTTTTGTTTTTTTTTTGTTTTGTTTTTTGAGAGCAGGCTCTTGTGGGCTTCTGTATTATATATATGAAAAATAGAATTTCACATTTCTGTTTACCTGACAGGTTTTAACTGAAACCCTTCACCAACAGACTGTTTTACCTAAAACTGTCTAATTTCTGGGTGATGACACCTTTCACCACCTTTCCATCTTGAAAACAGTTGAGCAAAAGTTCATGTCTGTTGACTGTTTGCAATAGACCACTGACAGACGTGTTTTTATGGTGACTCTGCATCAAACAATCATATGTTTAAGAAGTGAACAATAGAAAAGTGGTAACTGTGGTCTCTCTAAGTAAATATCAAGGGCTTATTTTAGCTGGAATGACTGGAATGACCTCTGCTGTGTTGTAATATCAACCCTGTCTCGCCATAGCCAACTACTTTGAGAAAGAATCTAGTAATTACAGTGAAAGAAAAACAAATTTAATTTGAAGGACTTAGAATTGCTGTTATGGTGACTATGATAATGTTAGTGTTAGGAAAATAAGTTATTTTTGAATTGTGTAATCTTTATTCGATTGTGTTGTCAACAGAACATGGAGACGGTTATCCATTTGATGGGAAAGATGGCCTCCTGGCTCATGCCTTTGCACCGGGACCAGGGATTGGGGGAGATTCCCATTTCGATGATGATGAGCAATGGACTTTAGGAGAGGGCCAAGGTAATACAGCCATCATTAATTCACACAAAATAGTAATGCTTGCTTTGTATCTTGTTAATTTAAAGTTAGTTAATGATATACAGTATGCTTCTGCAGTTGAAATAAGCCTTTGGTGTAGATTTGCTCATTTTGCTTATGATTGATGGGTTTCTCCATCAACAATAAAGATGAAGACCACATTTACTGCAATCATATTAATGTTGAAGATTTTCCAGCTGTAGTATATTAGGTGAGATTTTGAACCTGATCATTTTGATACAGTTTTAAGTTATTTTCTTTTAATCAATTCAATCTTTGTCTGACTTAACTGGCACTTCATACGAGAAGTTGAAGCCATCTGGAAGACAATTAGATGAAATAAAATCTCCATTGAAAACATTTTGGAATCACACTCAGTGACCTAGATAGATTTGCTCCAACATTCATCACTACATTTATATAGTCTTGATCCTTATGTGTAAATAAAAATCTTTTGTAAATGTCAATTTCTTTCATATTATCGTATTATATTCACCTTTAATGTACTGGTAACAATTCTGCATTTGTTTCTTTTAAAAAGCAGCTTCATTTAAGATATGTGATTCAAAATCGATGGCCTCTATTTTACTTAGCAAATCATTTATGTTGTGTAAATAAGCTATTTAATTAAGCACCTTTTTTTCCCCCTTACAGTGGTGAAAGTGAAGTTTGGCAATGCTGAAGGAGAGTTCTGTAAGTTCCCTTTTCTGTTCATGGGCACCGAGTACAACACCTGTACATCTCAGGGACGAGATGATGGATTCCTGTGGTGCTCCACCACCTACAACTTTGATGAAGATGGCAAATATGGCTTCTGCCCTCACGAGTGTAAGCTTGTCACATACTTCTCGAATTGTGAACTTGTAAAGGCTTGGCAGTGTCTCTTTCCAATTCTCTAAGAAACCATTACTTGGCAAAAACTGGGATATATTCCCTAGTTGCATTTCAAACTTTTAAAGATTATTAAAACAATGATTTCCACTCTCAAAACTCTTCTGTGGTTTTGGGCGGGAAGAAAGTAGGTTGAACTGTATGCCAAGAAAGCATGTAACTGTCTTGCTTTGGAGCGAATTATGAAACATTTCTTTTCCAAGTTTTTGCCCCACTTTAGAACACCCTGCTTTACTAATCATTTACTTTATCTCTAGTGTTCATGGTATATGCATACAAGGCTCAAGCAACTACCAAATTACACGTGTACTATGTTGTTTTAGAGGATGTGAACATGTTTGAGCATCATTTTCAGCAGAGCTGCTAATTCTGTGTTTACTTATATTGATATGGAAAAGGTTGGTTGGTGTTTTGTCTTTTCATTTCTCTGGGTACTTACATAATTTATCATAACATGTTATAAGTTTCCATTTTGTAGTCAGAAATGATTACCGTTCCAGACATCTAAAGCTTAAAAGTTTCTGTTGTTTTTGTTTTTTACAGTACTTTTTACCCTTGGTGGTAACGGAGACGGCGCGCCTTGTAAATTCCCCTTCAACTTTCAGGGGGAAAGCTATGACAGCTGCACCACTGAGGGTCGGGATGATGGATATCGCTGGTGTGCCACCACTGACGACTATGACCGGGACAAGTCCTACGGCTTCTGCCCTGAAACGGGTAGGCCTTGTTTTCTGCTCCCTGATATACAAACCACACATCATCACACTACTCAGTAATGTAGAGTGTTATTAGGTTTTTAAGGAAGTTTCTGACCATCACATTGCTTTGCTTACTGTTTTAAAGGGTCACCATTTTTGTTTGTCTAAGTGGAAAAAGAAACTATTGTGTTTATCTTTGTGGGAATTGTGTAATGCCTTTCCATGGTTGCTATCCAGAAAGCAAGCTTCTCAGCCTTGCTTGTGGTTAGCTTAATCACAGTTAAACTATTTTCATCTGCTCTTCCTTAGTTTCATTCGGTTTTTAAAATCTTTTTAGGTTTAAATAGAAAAGATGGTACGCCGTTGCACGCTGATAATATATATTTTTTTCTGTTTTGTTTTACTAACACAGCTTTAACAAAGGAACAATAATTAGAATACACAGAAACAGTGATGCCAAGCTGTGATAATCCCTAAAAAAAATATATGTTTTTGTTTTGCTTCTGAATCACCTCCTGGTATGAATTACCTGATGACAGTTGTGTTGTGCTGTTTGTTTTACACTTGTTTACACATATTTTACAGTCCATCTTAACATAATTTGGCATTTGAATCAGTTTATAAGACTCTAAGGTTTATTCCATATAAACCATTAAAAACATTTTCTGCGGTTTACAGCAATGTCTACAGTGGGAGGAAATGCAGAGGGAAGCCCCTGCGTCTTTCCTTTCACCTTTCTTGGAGACAGCTATGATTCCTGCACTACCTCTGGACGCAGTGATGGGAAGAGATGGTGTGCGACCACTAAGAATTATGACGATGACCGGAAATGGGGCTTCTGTCCTGACCAAGGTGCGGCAGATTTGACAAATAGTACTTTCAGTATACGCTGTTGTTGGTCTGCTTTAGCTAAATCAAATTTACAAGCATATAAAGACCACATTGAAAAAAGAATTATTATATGTATTATTTTACATCTGCTTCAAGTTTACCTCTGACATAGTGCACCATCACAACACACTGCTTAAACTTAGACTTATATAAGATGATTGGAATTGTAGTAATACATTTGTCCTATTTATAATGAAAGCATAAAAGATGGCTCACTATCTCTTTTGACCATACTTATTTTCAGGCTATAGCTTGTTCCTAGTGGCCGCCCATGAATTTGGTCACGCCCTTGGTTTGGAGCATTCTCAGGACCCAGGAGCTCTGATGGCTCCCATCTATACTTTTACTAAAGACTTCAGACTTTCTCATGACGATATCCAAGGCATCCAAGAGCTCTATGGTGAGAAGACATTTTAAAAAATTTCCTCAAAAAAAAAAAAAAAAACTTATTAAACTGAGGAACAGAGTAGGGGGTTGGTTCAATTTCCTTTTTGTATATGACGACAGGTGTGCCCACCGACAAGCCTTTGCCGCCAACCCAGGGTCCGGTCACTCCAATGGACATTTGTAAAGATCCTGTTGTTTTTGATGCTGTTGCACAAATCAGAGGAGAAACCTTTTTCTTCAAAGACAGGTAATAGTTTTAAGTGTTATATGCAGTTTTAGGAAAGCTTCTGCATGTGTTAATATTAAGACCAAATAAGGAAGCAGCCGAGCTGCTCATTCTTGCTTTAATACATCATAGAAATATTAATGCCCAATTGATGATTTACTAAATCTAAATTAATGTATAAGACTAATCAGTTACATAGTATGAATGGCTGCTGAAATGCAGCGTTGCTTATGAAAATTGACTCAGACACCGAGATCAGTGGCAACACACCATAAGAAACCAAGAAACATTTGGGCAGTTTTCAACAAATGATGGGTGCTTAGATCTTGACTGGCCAACCAGACTGACCTCCAAGAAGCATAAGTCAGTCTGGAAGGCTCAATACTCTCCTGTCTAAAAGAGACCTGACCAATCTGAAACCATAACAGTCAAGATTGCAGCTGTGACTGAACAATGTTTTATTGATGCCCTTGATGATGTCCCAAGGGAGCTGTTTATATAGGTAAAATGTTTAGAATTATCTACTGTAGGACATTATAGTTTTCAATTACATCCGTAGTTATCTGATTGTATCTTTTTATTTTGATTCTCTTAGTCCTCCCTTTGAAAACGGGCTCTACGCCCTCCTTTCCAGACTAATTTGCACACCATCAATTAGTCTGTCTGGCCAGGCTAGCCTAGATCTGCCCCAGTAATGAAAGGATGTGCAGTTTGCCCTCCTTTGCTTAAAAGATAGACGTTTTCCACTTAAAATTTAATATTTACAACTTTCAAACCTCATAAGGTATTACACCATTAAAGAAAAGACCTGTGCAGTTGCATCATGAGAGGTAATATTCTCTTCAACAAGCAAGGGGCACTTTTTCAACACATGGAAATGTCAAATCTACATTGATCGCACCAACATAGCAACAAAATAAACCTTGTTTAGGGTGCAAATTGGTGACTAGTAGGTTTTGTCCTCTTGTGCTCCATTTCTACTGCAATTCTGGGGGAATTGGGGATATGTTTCATGTCAAAAACTATCATTGGTCACAGTTACAATAATACCAAACTGAATTTTCATAGACGTTAGGAAGAAACAATGCTGAAATGCAAGAGATGGCCTAGGGCTATAATCTTTTATGTAATTAAAACACAATAGATCTTTGAGCTTTGTTTTGTAAAAATCCATTAACAATTAGATAGACAAGATATATTGTTTTCTAGATTTCTATTGGTCTGTAACCCTCTGGTTTAAATAAATGTCAAAATTAGCATGAAAAGAAAAATGAGCTACTTAATGTGCATTCAGAAACAAAATAGTCATTACTCAAGTCTATAGTCCTGACACTTCCAGCATATTCTGTTCAACAGATGCATTCAAAGGGTCTTGAAACTCACCAACAAGGTCTTTACATTTTATTGCTGGAAAGTGAATATAAAGGTTATTTTTTATCCTCTTGAATTTAATTGGAATTGGTTGGAAACACAAAGGTAACTCCACTGTTTATCAGTCAACATTTGTATAATAAGTAAAAGGAAAAAGGAAAAAAAAAAAGATTTCGCTAGCTTAGGTTCCCGAACTTGAAATCATTTGTCTGCTCTTTCTGTGAGTTTTATGTGCACATTCAAAGTGTGCCCCAGAGCAGCACAATGGTGAAAAGAGTGCTCCTTGGACCATGAAACTTTGGCTCAGTTGTTTGAAATCAAGCTGAGCTGAAACTTAAATCCCTTCAAAGCTTCTGACTGTGGAAGATTTAGGGAGGAGAAAGAAAGCAAACAGTTTTTACAGTATATGAGAGTTACCACCTTTCTTGCATCATCTAGCCCTTCAAAGGAATTTTTTTATTGGTATTAATTTAAATAAAAGGGCAGTTTATTGCTTACTTCCAATTTTAACCCTAAATATTTTATGTGTTGAGTTTTTTTTTTGTTTTTGTTTTTTATTTTTTTTATTGCAACCATGTAGCAGAAGAATATAAGGTGAGATTAATGTGAGTGGGAGAAAACATTGAGACAAAAGTGCCCATGAATTCCTCAAATAATGAGCTGCCTGAATGTTATACTACTGTTTTTTTATTGCATAGGGCTTTTAAAAGGAAAATTTTATAGCTTACAAAAGACTAGTACTGCCATGCCTGCAATGCTAAAGTTTTTGTTGACTCATTGTAAAAGTGGAGCCTCTCCTCAAGCTGAATCAGCACATGTATGAGGTCCCACAGATCTCAACACGGTGCAGTGAGTAATACTCCTAGAACTCTACCAGCTTAGCATAAACTTGTCTGTCTAGAGCCTTAAGGAAAACACAATTTTAAAACCACATAGTAACGGCTTGAGGGGCCTACTGATTAAGCGCATTGCCTCTAACATCTTGCCATACATTTAGCAAAATGTGTGTATACATGATTTTATCAGTGCTATTTAATTTATTATTTCTACTATTAATTTAAGTGTTTATGAGGCGATATTAAGTTCATGTAATTTTGCATTAAAATCATGAAGCAAGACATACCACGTTGTTCTGAGTTATTATGAATCTAGCAGGCTTATTTTTAACAAAAATATCCTTTATTTAGTAGCACTACAACAGCACTCTGTTTAATAGCTTGTAAAACGCCCTTGAAATTATTACATTAATTATTGGTATCAACGTTTTGGTCTACAAAAAATACTAGAAAATATCAATATTGTGTCATCAACAATTTAATCACTGACTGATAAAAATGACTTATTAACTGCTCTATCAACAAGAACAAGAAGCAGCCTTAAAAAACTAGCTTTAAAAAAATATATATATGTAATATCATAATAATAAAAAAAGAACTTCTCTTTTACAAAAAAATTACAAATGCTTTACTTCAAAAGCTTTGCACAAACGTCACCACAGTGATAATCGTACTGTACTGAAAGGAATCTGATAACTGTAATTGTTAGCTGCAGGAACCATGGCATTATTCTCTGTCTGGTAAATGCATAGTTATTATTAGAAAAAGTATGAAGCACTCATAAGATTGGTACATGTTTGCAAAATTAACCCATTGACTTACAACAAGGTTTAACCAAATATTTTTTTTTTTCATTGTAGTACTTAGAAGCTAACCTGGCATAAGCCAGATTTATAAGTGTAATTCATTCGAATTTTTACATGGTATCGATCTGGAAAGCCTC